AGCGGTCCCGGGTTCGAGTCCCGCTCTGACCACTACCTAGATTTGTTTCACGGTAGCCCCGAGTTCAAATCCTCGCCACGTTATAGCCAACTGGTTTGCTTCCAGCCAGCTGGAATTCTCTCGGCAATGTTATGTCCAGTTTGAATTATTTGTTTCAGTTGTTTGCTCGGCCACACTAGCCTTCGTGCGTTGGTAAATTAAGTAACCTCCCTGCTGTGGTCATTAAGTCAATTCCGTCAGAATCACTGTTTTCAATTAAATAAGCTTCGGCTATTGCTTATTGTAACGTTTAGTCTTTTAAGCGCCCCTATAATCAAATTTTCAATATCCATTTTTTACATTTTCGCACACAATAGTTCCTTCATAGATTTCTTGCCAAATTTCAGTCTATTACGAACATTAGAACTCACGTTTTTTGGACCTTCATTTCCGAGAATTTAAGGCCACTATTGTTTTTCCTTGTTCCAAGGCTTTGGTTGAGAATTGGAGCAAATGACGTCATTTTCTCAAAAATACCGCACAGGTTGAAATTATGATAACAATTAGAGCAGAAAATTGCACGAATGTAAGGGCCAAAGTTTTTGTTATTCTTGAGGCGAATTGCAGCACTAATCCGTGATCCGTCTCTAGTATAACGATCAAATCTTTGTAATCTATGCAAGTCAAAATAAGTTTGTTTCATACTCCGTTCTTGAAAAGGGTGCGTGTGTGGGGTGAGGGGTGGGGGGTTGGAGGAGAAGGGGAGAGCAGAGCAGGGAATGGGAAATTAGTATTTGAACTAAAGTTCTCTCTCTCTTCTTGTTTAGAGTTCTGTAATTCCGTTTACGAGAAAAAAGACCACTTTTTAGGCGTTGGAGAAACATCCCTTTCATTGAACGGCTTTGTTAAAATTCTACACCACTATATCTTCTCTAAAACGTCAGGCTCTCTTTGTACACAACTTACCACCGTCCAGAAGTAAAATTCTACAATTAACACAAACATTTCCGACAAACTTCGAGGATCAATCGGTAACAGGACCTCGGCTGTCTGGGTTAACTTCGTGAAGTCTTCGGAAGACTACGATGTGGATTATATTAACGGTCATTAACGTCTACAAACTTAAGATAGAACTTTCTCTAACAGAATGTGTTCATCACCGCCTCCATCTATCCCGGCTCCAATGCTCTTTGAATCTTCTCTCTTCTCTGCGTTCCTCGTATCTTGGTCGCTCGTTCAGCGGATAACCGTGCCTTTCTCGCCGTTGTTCATCATCGTGCCACTGTCGTCCAGGCCTGTGTTGATGCCGCCAGTCACCCCGCGAGTCTCCAGCTCGGAAATCCCGAGGGAAGCGCACCTCATTTGATTCACCGGGTCGGGAATCTCGGGGGTAGCGCGGCTCGTTTGAAACACCGGGTCGGGAATCTCGGGGGTAGCGCGGCTCATTTGAATCACCGGGTCGGGAATCTCGGGGATAGCGGGTGTCACTACACCAAGCGCCTCTGGTCCTGTCGTCCATTCTTCTTTGCTCACAATGCTCATCTCTGTGCTCGCTAGACACTCGCCTGCTTTCCCGTGACTCCAACCGGGATTCGTGAGCCGCCAGCCGCGCACGTTCCTCCGGTCGAAGACCGCTGTACTGGCCTATCGGTTGGGTAACATTGTTCACTTGACGAGTGACTTCTGGTGGTTCAGACGGGTTCCATCTGTTGGTGTGACGACTGTCCTCAGGAGTGGGTTGGTGTCTCTGATCAGCAGGGGCCCTAGACTGAAAGCTGCGCTCGGTGGAGCCCGACACCTGAGCTCCACGAATACCGTGTGGACTTCCACTGCTGGAAGTTTCACGCTGTGGCATGTACCCAGTTAAACTGGTCGACACTGGCTGTCTCTCAGCATCACGCTGTGGTATGTGCCCAGCTGAACTGGCTGACACTGGCTGTCTGTCAGCAGTGACTGAACGCTGCAGTGGCTGTCCAGTTAAGCTGGCTGACGTTAGCTGTTGGCCAGCCCTACTCGAAAGCTGTGTTGCACTGTCAGGAGAAGACACCGGCTGTACATTCCGACTGCCTGGTACAATAGGCTGCAGTATACTGCTGGCTGATGCCATAGACTGGATGGCAAAGCCTCCTGAAACGGCAGGTTTCTTGACCGTGTCTGCTGTGCCAGCAGAAACAGTGTCACTGGATGCAGCAGAGGATCCCATTGGTAGTACTGTACTGAGTGATGACAAGTGAGGGCTTACACTTTTAACAGCAGCGCTTTGAAGCCTCTGAAGCGTGGAAACTAACATCTGAAGGCTAGACGGTTTAGACAGTTCCTGAGATGTCACGGGTACCACAGGTTTGGCAGGGGTGGGGTCAGTGGGGTCAGTGGAATCAAGATCAAGCTCCAACCCTTCCTCTGGATCATACGGAGCGTCGTCATCAGTCACTTTACCCTCCCCTCCCTTAAGCTCGACTTTCCCTGTGTCTGGGTTTTGTGATTTTTTCTCCGCCTCTTGCTGAAGTTCATCTTCAACCGGGCCTGTTTCTTTCCGCTGGGTCTGTGCCAAGATGTACTGCCGAGCACGCTCCTGAAGATCCAGCAATTGTTGCTTCTGTACCTCAAGAGAAGGAACAGATGACTTGTCAGCGGGGACAGAAGGAGAGCTCACCACTGCTCCAGAGGATGACGCCATTGACGGTGTCGAGGTCTCAGAAGTGGGCGAAGCTTTAGCTGGGGAATCTGTAGTTTTTTTGCTAGCAATCTTGGCTTGAGTGGTGTTGTACTGGAACACAATGTCATCAATATCAGCTGGTGGTGAATCATGCAGTTCAGTCAGCAGGCCTTGCTTGCTGGTCGGACTCTCCCCAGTCCCTCCCTCACTGCTGCTGGTCTCCACACTCGTTGAACTGTTTCGCCGCTTTGGCGGTGGTGACAGTGAACGCTGACTAAGTGCACGCGGGCGTTTAAACAGAACCTTGGATCGGACTATGATACCGAGAAGCATATGAGGACGATGCTCATCTAACCCTAAGGGAGAAAATACAAACAATCAATCAGTAACCCTTACTACGTTTTACTGCGTGGGAAGCTTACTTTAAACACTGTGAAACTACCATAAAATTCAAACACAAAAATCCTTCCACCCGATAAAAAAAGACCCTTTACCACACACTCTTTAAAACAGAGACCCTCTACCACAAAGACCCTTTACCACAGACCCTTAAACACAGACCCTTTACTAGATAGGCCCTTTACCACATAGACCCTTCACCTCAAAGGCCCTTCACCGCAAAGATCCTTCTCCACAAAGACCCTTTACCACAAAGACCCTTTACCACAAAGACCCTTTACACAGCTTCTCATCTTTGGAACAAAAATCAAGACTACTTTCAGCGAAAATATTAGCACTTACCAGGTCCATCAAATGGCAGTAACTCTGGCGGTATAGGTTGATGCGAGGCTAAAGGAACCAAGTACATGTCCTTGACGCCTGTGTAACAGTTACTGACAACTCCACAGCGCTTTCGACTGTAGAAATATGAGTACAAGGAGACATAGCTCAGCTTCTCGTCATCAGAGGATGCTTCATACCGTATCACACACACCTCCTGCAAGAAAGTTCATACGAAAATACTTTTTCAGTTCGCTAACACATACGAGACGTGTCGCAGGATTAGGTGGCAGGAACAAGAAGAAGTCGAGTGGAATTTTTCAAGTCCTCGATATTTCGAACTTCCCGATAACTCGAACTAAAAGTCGTTTCCGTCTCCTCAGTCGAACTTTGTAATGTTACCCCTGACTTCTCAAACTACCCGATTTTTCAAACCGATTTCGCTTCCCTTGGAGACTCCAAAAATCGGGTTTCATTGTGTTTTTAAGATCATGCGAAGTAAGAGAGATTTGTACAAGTAGAGGCCTTGGCAGCGGTCCATCTCGCCTTTGCGGTTTATCGGCCTAAGATTTTCCCCTATAAAGCAACTTTCCCACGCCTTTCATATCTCTTACAGTTATCTTCTCACACTCTTCCGGTTTCTTACAGTTATATAGTACCAACTGGCATGTATTTGATAAGATTAATTATACAACATTTAGTTCTTTTCCAGAAAAAACTTTCCAACTCCTAAAGAGTTCAAACGTTTATAGAATTTCTCTGTTACACAACACTGAAAAATTTTTTCCGACTTCATCAAAACAAGCCCTTTCCAGTTTCGTACGGTAGTTGTCTGTGGTACCAGCTGGTGTGTATTTGAAGGAATCCCTTACACAGAATTTAGTTCTTTTCAATACAAAACCTTCCAACTCCTGAAGAGTTCAAACGTTCATAAAATTTCTTTGTTACAAACACTGAAAAGTATTTTCCGACCGTATCAAAACAAGCTCTTTCTATTTCTCGAAATCAAAGACTTTTAAATATATGTTTTATAACAACTGATTATGAAAGGTACATTCCAAGTTCTCCATACTAAAATTACAAGAAATGTATAGCCATCAGGTAAGGAGAATATACCAATTCATACCCTTGACGTGGAGCTCTTCAGCTGCAAGAGGTAATCCCAAACTTGTTCATGAGCTATTCTTCCCTGGACATGCAGCGTGTCCGGTAACAACTGCAGCAGATCGTCACATGAGCCAGACACACGGTAAGCACTGGTACCGAACTTGGCAACACTCTGCATCATTACAAAGCCTTTCCACACCGCGGGAACTTTTTTCGGAGTCTTGCTGAGCACAGAAGGCGAGACGGGTGGTTGGGTAACTGTTGCCGAATCCGGTGAACTGCAAATAAAGAAACTGAGAATGTGTCTTCACCCTCTCCTCCCTAGTGCTAGAGAGAAAAGTTGGCTGAAGGGTTAAAAAGGTGCGATTCAGACACACGCATCTTCAAGGAGCTCAGTCATGGCGTTTTGGTCACGTACAAAATAACCTTTAAATTGAAGAAAAACTGAAAATGGTAGTTTTACTAAGAGAGAAAAACATCAAAGACAAAAATAAACCATAAAGGAACAAGGATGGTTTAAGACGGAGAAGATTACATGGATTACAAACTGAAAAATTGAAAAATCTTGGCTAACCTTTTCTAGATGCACAAAAAACCCGAGATTTAGCTCCTTCAAGGTTGCTGTTCACAATCTGTCGCAGTCTTTTCCAGTTTTTACGATTCTTGTGCCCTTTGGCTTTGCTACTTTCTCTGGCAATTTTCTGTATTTGATATCAATTATTTCTAGTTTCCTTTGATAGATTTGAAAGCAATACAAATTGAATATTATTTAACACGTATAAAATGACGTATAGAAATCGAGAGCGCATAATCGAATCGTTTTAGTATAAAATCTACAAGCTGTTCAGATCTTGATAAGCAAATTACCTAAACCCTGTAAACAGACACTTTGAAAACGCATTTAAGTGGCCACCGTTTAGTGATTTTTAGTTAACAACCGCAGACTGCGAGGCCACTCAACCAGTGACGCGAGTGCGACCTTAACTGTAATTAAGCCCCCACCCCACCCCCATAAAGGTGGGGATTTTTTGGCAAACAAACCTTGCAGAAGTAACAATATCCATGGGTGTCGGGGACGGGATGGAGCTCTCGGCTACAGCTTGAACTCTGTTGAATACAAGGTATAAAAACTATAAGCACTCGTCCATACAAGAAAACCAAGAAATTACCTAAGGTTACCATACATTCCTGGTTTTCACTAGTGAAAGGCTCACAGTAGGAGCTGTAAGAACGTTTACAACCAAGTGAATCCAAAATCCAAAATCAGAGTCAAAAGTTCAACGGAATCGGAGTCTGGAGAGTCTGAACGTTTCAATTTCCTTCCGATTCCGGAAACTTCAGGAACGCTGTTGTCAAAACATTACAAACCAAACTTCAGAACTTTAATGAGGTCATGGTTCAAAATTCCACCTCACTTTTCCCCACTCCAGCCCCCTCCTCCCAGCCCCCTCCCCCCACCCCCACCATAAATTAGCAATCCTCTTTTACTCACCAGTAAAATGAAGGTGGCCGCGAACTCAGCCGCAGCTTCTCTCATCAAGGCAGGTAAACGAAAACGAACAGCCATGGTAACGTCTCAGTAATTCTGCTGCGAAGAAATACAACAATGGTTCAAACCAGTGGCCTTTGAAATGTTGACGCATCTCTGCCTGATTACCTATACTCACTAACTACTTTCTGAGAGCAAAAACAAATAGGAGCCACGCCTGAGAAATGATCGAGATTCTGTACGTTGAAGCAGCTCCCTTAGCTCTAGACGTTCNAGCGGTCCCGGGTTCGAGTCCCGCTCTGACCACTACCTAGATTTGTTTCACGGTAGCCCCGAGTTCAAATCCTCGCCACGTTATAGCCAACTGGTTTGCTTCCAGCCAGCTGGAATTCTCTCGGCAATGTTATGTCCAGTTTGAATTATTTGTTTCAGTTGTTTGCTCGGCCACACTAGCCTTCGTGCGTTGGTAAATTAAGTAACCTCCCTGCTGTGGTCATTAAGTCAATTCCGTCAGAATCACTGTTTTCAATTAAATAAGCTTCGGCTATTGCTTATTGTAACGTTTAGTCTTTTAAGCGCCCCTATAATCAAATTTTCAATATCCATTTTTTACATTTTCGCACACAATAGTTCCTTCATAGATTTCTTGCCAAATTTCAGTCTATTACGAACATTAGAACTCACGTTTTTTGGACCTTCATTTCCGAGAATTTAAGGCCACTATTGTTTTTCCTTGTTCCAAGGCTTTGGTTGAGAATTGGAGCAAATGACGTCATTTTCTCAAAAATACCGCACAGGTTGAAATTATGATAACAATTAGAGCAGAAAATTGCACGAATGTAAGGGCCAAAGTTTTTGTTATTCTTGAGGCGAATTGCAGCACTAATCCGTGATCCGTCTCTAGTATAACGATCAAATCTTTGTAATCTATGCAAGTCAAAATAAGTTTGTTTCATACTCCGTTCTTGAAAAGGGTGCGTGTGTGGGGTGAGGGGTGGGGGGTTGGAGGAGAAGGGGAGAGCAGAGCAGGGAATGGGAAATTAGTATTTGAACTAAAGTTCTCTCTCTCTTCTTGTTTAGAGTTCTGTAATTCCGTTTACGAGAAAAAAGACCACTTTTTAGGCGTTGGAGAAACATCCCTTTCATTGAACGGCTTTGTTAAAATTCTACACCACTATATCTTCTCTAAAACGTCAGGCTCTCTTTGTACACAACTTACCACCGTCCAGAAGTAAAATTCTACAATTAACACAAACATTTCCGACAAACTTCGAGGATCAATCGGTAACAGGACCTCGGCTGTCTGGGTTAACTTCGTGAAGTCTTCGGAAGACTACGATGTGGATTATATTAACGGTCATTAACGTCTACAAACTTAAGATAGAACTTTCTCTAACAGAATGTGTTCATCACCGCCTCCATCTATCCCGGCTCCAATGCTCTTTGAATCTTCTCTCTTCTCTGCGTTCCTCGTATCTTGGTCGCTCGTTCAGCGGATAACCGTGCCTTTCTCGCCGTTGTTCATCATCGTGCCACTGTCGTCCAGGCCTGTGTTGATGCCGCCAGTCACCCCGCGAGTCTCCAGCTCGGAAATCCCGAGGGAAGCGCACCTCATTTGATTCACCGGGTCGGGAATCTCGGGGGTAGCGCGGCTCGTTTGAAACACCGGGTCGGGAATCTCGGGGGTAGCGCGGCTCATTTGAATCACCGGGTCGGGAATCTCGGGGATAGCGGGTGTCACTACACCAAGCGCCTCTGGTCCTGTCGTCCATTCTTCTTTGCTCACAATGCTCATCTCTGTGCTCGCTAGACACTCGCCTGCTTTCCCGTGACTCCAACCGGGATTCGTGAGCCGCCAGCCGCGCACGTTCCTCCGGTCGAAGACCGCTGTACTGGCCTATCGGTTGGGTAACATTGTTCACTTGACGAGTGACTTCTGGTGGTTCAGACGGGTTCCATCTGTTGGTGTGACGACTGTCCTCAGGAGTGGGTTGGTGTCTCTGATCAGCAGGGGCCCTAGACTGAAAGCTGCGCTCGGTGGAGCCCGACACCTGAGCTCCACGAATACCGTGTGGACTTCCACTGCTGGAAGTTTCACGCTGTGGCATGTACCCAGTTAAACTGGTCGACACTGGCTGTCTCTCAGCATCACGCTGTGGTATGTGCCCAGCTGAACTGGCTGACACTGGCTGTCTGTCAGCAGTGACTGAACGCTGCAGTGGCTGTCCAGTTAAGCTGGCTGACGTTAGCTGTTGGCCAGCCCTACTCGAAAGCTGTGTTGCACTGTCAGGAGAAGACACCGGCTGTACATTCCGACTGCCTGGTACAATAGGCTGCAGTATACTGCTGGCTGATGCCATAGACTGGATGGCAAAGCCTCCTGAAACGGCAGGTTTCTTGACCGTGTCTGCTGTGCCAGCAGAAACAGTGTCACTGGATGCAGCAGAGGATCCCATTGGTAGTACTGTACTGAGTGATGACAAGTGAGGGCTTACACTTTTAACAGCAGCGCTTTGAAGCCTCTGAAGCGTGGAAACTAACATCTGAAGGCTAGACGGTTTAGACAGTTCCTGAGATGTCACGGGTACCACAGGTTTGGCAGGGGTGGGGTCAGTGGGGTCAGTGGAATCAAGATCAAGCTCCAACCCTTCCTCTGGATCATACGGAGCGTCGTCATCAGTCACTTTACCCTCCCCTCCCTTAAGCTCGACTTTCCCTGTGTCTGGGTTTTGTGATTTTTTCTCCGCCTCTTGCTGAAGTTCATCTTCAACCGGGCCTGTTTCTTTCCGCTGGGTCTGTGCCAAGATGTACTGCCGAGCACGCTCCTGAAGATCCAGCAATTGTTGCTTCTGTACCTCAAGAGAAGGAACAGATGACTTGTCAGCGGGGACAGAAGGAGAGCTCACCACTGCTCCAGAGGATGACGCCATTGACGGTGTCGAGGTCTCAGAAGTGGGCGAAGCTTTAGCTGGGGAATCTGTAGTTTTTTTGCTAGCAATCTTGGCTTGAGTGGTGTTGTACTGGAACACAATGTCATCAATATCAGCTGGTGGTGAATCATGCAGTTCAGTCAGCAGGCCTTGCTTGCTGGTCGGACTCTCCCCAGTCCCTCCCTCACTGCTGCTGGTCTCCACACTCGTTGAACTGTTTCGCCGCTTTGGCGGTGGTGACAGTGAACGCTGACTAAGTGCACGCGGGCGTTTAAACAGAACCTTGGATCGGACTATGATACCGAGAAGCATATGAGGACGATGCTCATCTAACCCTAAGGGAGAAAATACAAACAATCAATCAGTAACCCTTACTACGTTTTACTGCGTGGGAAGCTTACTTTAAACACTGTGAAACTACCATAAAATTCAAACACAAAAATCCTTCCACCCGATAAAAAAAGACCCTTTACCACACACTCTTTAAAACAGAGACCCTCTACCACAAAGACCCTTTACCACAGACCCTTAAACACAGACCCTTTACTAGATAGGCCCTTTACCACATAGACCCTTCACCTCAAAGGCCCTTCACCGCAAAGATCCTTCACCACAAAGACCCTTTACCACAAAGACCCTTTACCACAAAGACCCTTTACACAGCTTCTCATCTTTGGAACAAAAATCAAGACTACTTTCAGCGAAAATATTAGCACTTACCAGGTCCATCAAATGGCAGTAACTCTGGCGGTATAGGTTGATGCGAGGCTAAAGGAACCAAGTACATGTCCTTGACGCCTGTGTAACAGTTACTGACAACTCCACAGCGCTTTCGACTGTAGAAATATGAGTACAAGGAGACATAGCTCAGCTTCTCGTCATCAGAGGATGCTTCATACCGTATCACACACACCTCCTGCAAGAAAGTTCATACGAAAATACTTTTTCAGTTCGCTAACACATACGAGACGTGTCGCAGGATTAGGTGGCAGGAACAAGAAGAAGTCGAGTGGAATTTTTCAAGTCCTCGATATTTCGAACTTCCCGATAACTCGAACTAAAAGTCGTTTCCGTCTCCTCAGTCGAACTTTGTAATGTTACCCCTGACTTCTCAAACTACCCGATTTTTCAAACCGATTTCGCTTCCCTTGGAGACTCCAAAAATCGGGTTTCATTGTGTTTTTAAGATCATGCGAAGTAAGAGAGATTTGTACAAGTAGAGGCCTTGGCAGCGGTCCATCTCGCCTTTGCGGTTTATCGGCCTAAGATTTTCCCCTATAAAGCAACTTTCCCACGCCTTTCATATCTCTTACAGTTATCTTCTCACACTCTTCCGGTTTCTTACAGTTATATAGTACCAACTGGCATGTATTTGATAAGATTAATTATACAACATTTAGTTCTTTTCCAGAAAAAACTTTCCAACTCCTAAAGAGTTCAAACGTTTATAGAATTTCTCTGTTACACAACACTGAAAAATTTTTTCCGACTTCATCAAAACAAGCCCTTTCCAGTTTCGTACGGTAGTTGTCTGTGGTACCAGCTGGTGTGTATTTGAAGGAATCCCTTACACAGAATTTAGTTCTTTTCAATACAAAACCTTCCAACTCCTGAAGAGTTCAAACGTTCATAAAATTTCTTTGTTACAAACACTGAAAAGTATTTTCCGACCGTATCAAAACAAGCTCTTTCTATTTCTCGAAATCAAAGACTTTTAAATATATGTTTTATAACAACTGATTATGAAAGGTACATTCCAAGTTCTCCATACTAAAANTCACCTCAAAGGCCCTTCACCGCAAAGATCCTTCACCACAAAGACCCTTTACCACAAAGACCCTTTACCACAAAGACCCTTTACACAGCTTCTCATCTTTGGAACAAAAATCAAGACTACTTTCAGCGAAAATATTAGCACTTACCAGGTCCATCAAATGGCAGTAACTCTGGCGGTATAGGTTGATGCGAGGCTAAAGGAACCAAGTACATGTCCTTGACGCCTGTGTAACAGTTACTGACAACTCCACAGCGCTTTCGACTGTAGAAATATGAGTACAAGGAGACATAGCTCAGCTTCTCGTCATCAGAGGATGCTTCATACCGTATCACACACACCTCCTGCAAGAAAGTTCATACGAAAATACTTTTTCAGTTCGCTAACACATACGAGACGTGTCGCAGGATTAGGTGGCAGGAACAAGAAGAAGTCGAGTGGAATTTTTCAAGTCCTCGATATTTCGAACTTCCCGATAACTCGAACTAAAAGTCGTTTCCGTCTCCTCAGTCGAACTTTGTAATGTTACCCCTGACTTCTCAAACTACCCGATTTTTCAAACCGATTTCGCTTCCCTTGGAGACTCCAAAAATCGGGTTTCATTGTGTTTTTAAGATCATGCGAAGTAAGAGAGATTTGTACAAGTAGAGGCCTTGGCAGCGGTCCATCTCGCCTTTGCGGTTTATCGGCCTAAGATTTTCCCCTATAAAGCAACTTTCCCACGCCTTTCATATCTCTTACAGTTATCTTCTCACACTCTTCCGGTTTCTTACAGTTATATAGTACCAACTGGCATGTATTTGATGGGATTAATTATACAACATTTAGTTCTTTTCCAGAAAAAACTTTCCAGCTCCTAAAGAGTTCAAACGTTTATAGAATTTCTGTTACACAACACTGAAAAATGTTTTCCGACAAGCCCTTTCCAGTTTCGTGCAGTAGTTGTCTGTGGTACCAGCTGGTGTGTATTTGAAGGAATCCCTTATACAGAATTTAGTTCTTTTCAATACAAAACCTTCCAACTCCTGAAGAGTTCAAACGTTCATAAAATTTCTCTGCTACAAACACTGAAAAGCATTTTCCGACCGTATCAAAGCAAGCTCTATCTATTTCTCGAAATCAAAGACTTTTAACTATATGTTTTATAACAAATGATTATGAAAGGTACATTCCAAGTTCTCCATACTAAAACTACAAGAAATGTATAGCCATCAGGTAAGGAGAATATACCAATTCATACCCTTGACGTGGAGCTCTTCAGCTGCAAGAGGTAATCCCAAACTTGTTCATGAGCTATTCTTCCCTGGACATGCAGCGTGTCCGGTAACAACTGCAGCAGATCGTCACATGAGCCAGACACACGGTAAGCACTGGTACCGAACTTGGCAACACTCTGCATCATTACAAAGCCTTTCCACACCGCGGGAACTTTTTTCGGAGTCTTGCTGAGCACAGAAGGCGAGACGGGTGGTTGGGTAACTGTTGCCGAATCCGGTGAACTGCAAATAAAGAAACTGAGAATGTGTCTTCACCCTCTCCTCCCTAGTGCTAGAGAGAAAAGTTGGCTGAAGGGTTAAAAAGGTGCGATTCAGACACACGCATCTTCAAGGAGCTCAGTCATGGCGTTTTGGTCACGTACAAAATAACCTTTAAATTGAAGAAAAACTGAAAATGGTAGTTTTACTAAGAGAGAAAAACATCAAAGACAAAAATAAACCATAAAGGAACAAGGATAGTTTAAGACGGAGAAGATTACATGGATTACAAACTGAAAAATTGAAAAATCTTGGCTAACCTTTTCTAGATGCACAAAAAACCCGAGATTTAGCTCCTTCAAGGTTGCTGTTCACAATCTGTCGCAGTCTTTTCCAGTTTTTACGATTCTTGTGCCCTTTGGCTTTGCTACTTTCTCTGGCAATTTTCTGTATTTGATATCAATTATTTCTAGTTTCCTTTGATAGATTTGAAAGCAATACAAATTGAATATTATTTAACACGTATAAAATGACGTATAGAAATCGAGAGCGCATAATCGAATCGTTTTAGTATAAAATCTACAAGCTGTTCAGATCTTGATAAGCAAATTACCTAAACCCTGTAAACAGACACTTTGAAAACGCATTTAAGTGGCCACCGTTTAGTGATTTTTAGTTAACAACCGCAGACTGCGAGGCCACTCAACCAGTGACGCGAGTGCGACCTTAACTGTAATTAAGCCCCCACCCCACCCCCATAAAGGTGGGGATTTTTTGGCAAACAAACCTTGCAGAAGTAACAATATCCATGGGTGTCGGGGACGGGATGGAGCTCTCGGCTACAGCTTGAACTCTGTTGAATACAAGGTATAAAAACTATAAGCACTCGTCCATACAAGAAAACCAAGAAATTACCTAAGGTTACCATACATTCCTGGTTTTCACTAGTGAAAGGCTCACAGTAGGAGCTGTAAGAACGTTTACAACCAAGTGAATCCAAAATCCAAAATCAGAGTCAAAAGTTCAACGGAATCGGAGTCTGGAGAGTCTGAACGTTTCAATTTCCTTCCGATTCCGGAAACTTCAGGAACGCTGTTGTCAAAACATTACAAACCAAACTTCAGAACTTTAATGAGGTCATGGTTCAAAATTCCACCTCACTTTTCCCCACTCCAGCCCCCTCCTCCCAGCCCCCTCCCCCCACCCCCATCCCCATCTCACATTCTCTACCACCCCCCTCCACTCCTAAAACATGACAAAACAACTCCAAAGCTTACATTGACGTTGTGGACACAAGCGGAGCTGGCGTTTCCCTCCTGGGGGGCTCCCCTGGGGGTGCCATTTTACCGGTGCAAATGCGACAATTCAGATCAAAGAGATGGATGCGATGTTCATCTGTGGTGTCCAGTAATAATGTACTGGAACTCGTATTGCTATCTGGCAGACCTTTCTCCACCTTCAGCTCTGCGTTGGCCTTGACAGAGTTCTAAACAGATATCACAGAGGAGACAATATTAACTTTCTCTGTTTCATAGTATTTCAGGGTTAGTGCACATTGTGGGTAAAGCTGGTGACACTTCCCTATCTTGAAGTGATTGATAGATAACATGATTTAACAATCGCTCAATCACAGAATCAATTGACTGACTGAACTCGACCATACAGTATTTTCCACTGAATGTTGAAAGTAACGCGCTTTTGCTTTGGTTTCACATTACTGCAATTAGCGATTAGCTTAAAAAGTCGCACAGCTTTGTTATCCAATTAGAAGTAAAACCAAAACCAATCCTAAATTACTGTCGCACATTTTTGCAGACTTCGTGTCAGCTACATGTATTTGCTTGGAGTTTTGATTTGTTCACTGTATTTTCTGTGTCCTGTGTGATTAGCTTGAGTGATTACTTTGGCTTCGGTCTTAAGATACTCAGTGAAATACCACTCTATTTCCGTAACTGGTTGGCACAAGTGAGCAGTCCAGGGGAGTTTGTAGTGAGCACTGTTCTCACATAATATAACCCAACAATAAATTATTGTAACATCTTGTTCGCTATGATTTGTGAGTGGGAGCAAGGACACCAACAAGCCCCAGTTGCTGCATGTCCAGTCAAAAACAACAAACAGATCCTCAAAGCTATCATCACTAAGCAATATTTCAATCTCCAATTCTTCTCACACCAGGGATGGAAATTAGCTTTATGACAAGATAATTTTGTTTTCTTGGACAACAAGAAAAATGTTAGTTATCCTGGCAAGCTTGCAAAGTACCAACGCCATTATTCCATTTCCAAGTTGGCTTTTGTCTCTGTGTCAACATAAGACAAGTCTTACTGCATAACATTGTGTAAACATAAAGAGTTTTGATCAAGGACATAAATTATTTTGAAGTAGAGGCAAGGGCAACTCAGGAAAAACGACTGTTCTCACCTCAAATGTACTCAAATCATCATCGTCTATTTCAACCTCACCCTGAAAAAGGTACAAAACAAGCAGTGAGTAGTGTTCCGCTAATAGGAGATCTCGGGTCAAAACCACTTAGGGAGACTCCCATGTGAAAAGGTCCGGGATATTTGTCAGAACATTTGAATTAAACCTCTGAAAGAGACCAATCTGGGTTTGATTCAAGCGTTCTATGACCCCTAAAAGATAGTACTTTAAAACATACCTGTAAACATTTTTTTGTTGTTGTTAATTTCTTTGAGTGTAACTCCAACTCAATAGTGGCACTTAATCCTGCACACCATAAAGCAGTGTTTCAGCGAGAAAATTTTACTTGAGGGCCAAAGTGGCCCYTGAAGATCTTTTTTAGGGGCCAATTTTTTAGGAAAGGGGCCAATAAACTGAAAGCTACAGAAGGAAAAATGCATCAGGGTACCAAGGAAAATAAAGCAGTTTATTAGGATCTATGATAAAATTTAATAGTAAGTGCTTTTTGGAGGGTTTCTACTCAATAAAGTTTCTTTTGAATCAGATACTAGTATGAAGGATCCGTGCATTACAAGAGAACAGTCCTTAGGCCTACATGACGTAGTGAATGATCAAGGGTTTGCAATGCATTATAGGGCGATTTCAAACTCGGTCAGCCATTTGGAAGTTTTCCGATATGAGAGAATCAATACAGTAAAGCAAAAGGACGCATTGACTTCTTTTCTTATGTTGAATGTTTTAGAAACAAAGATCTTTCAATATGATTTTCTAGAAGTACATAACGTGTGACAAAATAACCGTTATTGATCGTCAACACAGAGAAATCTAGTCGCCAATATGCCGTACTATGGCGACTAAATCAGAATTTTTGGTCGCCAAGGATGAAGTGCTTGTTGCATTGGCGACCGTATCAATCACAATTTCCAGCCCTGGGATGGCTTTCAAAATATTATGCCTGTGTTATGCCTGCAGTCTTGTAAAAGGAAAGGGCCAAATTGGCCCTTTTTCCGTTTTTCTGGGGGCCATCTCTGATTGTAACGCGGGATTCCTGCAATGGCGCGCTCTGGCCGAAACACTGATAAAGTAGAGCAAAATCCGTGATTGGCACCCCAAAGTGAGACAAAAAACATCCCTTTCCTTTTCACACAGAAGCCCCACCCCTCCCCCCCAACAAAAAAAACCCAACAAGGTCTGCTTTATAAACAGAACTCATGTTAGACAAATATCCATCGATAAATTAATCAAAAACAAAATCCCGAAGCAGCAAAGATGAAAAGAATACCCAAGTGTAAACAACATGAAGGCGCGCGAGGTTTGAGAAAATTCTGCGCAAACAAGGCTTGCAGGTAAATCTTGGGCAAGTGTGGTAATCACGCATAAGACCTTTTGACCATACCTCTAGTCATTACACATATCAATGTATCTGCTCATGTCAAGAGAAAATGATCATTACTAACAAACCTCACCTTGTGCGTTTTCTTTATGTGCGCTTTTGTTGCATTTATTTCCTCCTGATTCATCCTTATCATCTCCAGGGTCTAAATACAACAACAACAACAAAAAAAAGAAACAGCAAAGAGCAGTTTTTACTAAATGGCTTAAAGTAAGCCAAGTTTTCTTTGGTGTTACATCAGTGCATTATACAATTTTCTCAAAAAAACTTGCATCACTTTGTAATTCAATCAAAAGTAAAATCCCTTTTATATTAATTTATGATACAGTGGTCCAAAATTGTGACCAGCTGGACGCCAATGCGACTGAAAATTGAATGTTGGCAACCAGAATTTTGAGGCTAACCGTCATTAGGTGACTACCTTGTAGCAGCATCACCACTTGCTTCATGTGTGGCTTTGGAAGGCTTTGTACCGATGGCATGTATTGAAGAAAATGATTTTAAGTTTGGTCTCCAAACTAAGAGAGCTATCTATTTAACAAGAACTCCGTTTCAACTAATTGTAAGCTACGCAATATTTTAATGCCTTTACACATAGAATCTGACTCTTGCTCTTGAGATCATTCAAGAGTAGGACTATTTTCTCGTGAAAAAAAGTCTTGAAAAACTTCATGCATTTGTGTCTCGCTATAAAGGAAAAATTTTATTGACACTTTTTGTGACCACATTTTTCCATCTGGTGACTGAAAAAAAAATCTCAATCGCCAGTTGGCACCTACCTAAAAAAGTTAATTTCAGACCCTGGGATAGAGGGCCACTCTCTTTAAAGAAAGTTGTTACTTACTTAATTACCAATCAAAACCCAAATGTAACTCACTTCCACATGCCTTCCCGCATTTCCCATAAATTACATGTATTTGGCTAGAGTTTTGATTGGTTCACTTGACAGTCTGTGCCCTTTTATGATCCACCAGAGTGATTTCTTTGGTTTTGCTTTTACCACACTCCGTCAAAAACTGGTCTAGTCCAACCACCACATTGGCAATGGAGAATACTTTCTATAATAGTATGTACACCTTCTAAAATGGGACACCTTCATAATTTTGTGGACTTGATAACTTGCAATCAACTGCTTTTTTTGATGAATGGGGGAAGGGAAAAAAAAGAATGTCTCCTTTTTTTCTCCTTCCCCCTCCTGTAGAAAAGAACACTTATCCCAGGTTATGGACTTTAAAACAAGGGTAGTTTGGCTTTTGTTGTAAAATGATGGATACGTACGTGTTTTGTTTCCTGCTCGCGCCACGTGGCTAACTCTGGTGACGCAAGCTGCTCAGGCGTCATACGAACAAGACGGTCCACAGATATTTCACCAGAAAGCACATGCCGAAACAGCACCTGAAATGCGACACACTTATGTCAGTGTTTTAAATGCTTTACAACACTCAGTATCAATGAATTTTCTCATATGTTCCCAAGAAAAAAATACCATATACATGTAGAGCATTTTCACTCATGTGACCAACAGGCTAGCAATTTTTTTTTCAACAAAAAAGTGTTTACATAAGAAAGAGTTCAACTCCCATTGAATTGGTTTGGGACAGTAAAATGGCCACTGTTTTGTTGTTTTGGGACACCAATACAGCTGCAGTGATGTCATGTGAAAACACTCTACACCCATAAAAATATGTAACATCAAGCAAACTACTGTATTGTACTCAACTGTACTGTGCTGGGGCAGATACAGAATTTTAGAGAAGGGGGTCGAGATGCAGATCGGTCAAGGTGGTCCCCCGTAAGGTGGACCAGGGGCATCCTCCCACGGAAAATGAGATTTCGGACATTGCGAGGCCAGGTCAGCATGTTATAACGTCTCATTTTTTTTTTATTTAGGGGGTTTGACCAAACCCCCTAAAAACCCCTCCAACCCCCCCTCCCCCCACTAAGGTCTGCCCCACCTGTCAGCACAACAACACTAAACAGTAGGTGTAAATTGTGCAATGACTTGCCTTATTTCTAGGGTCCTTGAGATTAAACATCAAACTGCGATACTTGTTCTTATAGCGATGTCCTGTATCTCCAAAGAAGGAGAACATTTCTCCCTCCACGTTATGAGAGCACTTGTCGATATCCTCTTCACTGATGCTCAAATCTTGTTGTTCCTTTGATCTGCAAAAGAGATCAGCAATAATAATTATCACAAACCACTAATTTTCACGCAAACCTTTCTGTATATCTATGGCCTCACACATAAGAAAAAAGAAAACAAAAATTCCTCAGCTTTTCACTGCAAGAAAACAATTTTTTGTGTCTTACTGATACTGATAAATTGAAAATTTAGAAATTTACAACAGCACACTGAAGTTTCTGGTTAAACCAGCATAAGAGTGTAAACTCTTTTAAGCCCAGGCATAATTTTTTTGCTGGGCTTAAAACTGCTGTTTTATTGGTTTCACTTGCTGTTAACCATAAGTTGATTCTAAAATCCCCTAAAATAACTCAATTTCCATGTGAGCAAGCTTTTGAAATGCACAAGTAAGTAAAAATTAATGATAAAAGCAAACAGGCAGTTTATTTATTTTCTTTTTGAACTTGAAAATGGGGTCATAATGACTCAGAAACTTCATTCGCTTTTATCATTAATTTCCATGTATGTATACCGTGTTGTCAGGATTTCCTTGAGGGATTTTCTTATGTTATCTCTCACAGTCTTCTCACTATCTTCCTTTTTCTCTTTCTTTTTCTCATCTTTTCCAACTGAAATTGAAAATAAGATGTCACACATCAACTAAAGGATATCATATTTATTTACTACCAACTGCTGGTACTTCCACGGCGCTAACAAGAAACAAGATGGAGCTGAAACAAAATGGGCTAACGGCACCTCTCAAGAAAATCAGTGCAAACTTATGAATAGTGTAAACTTACTTTTCAAGAGAGGAATTAATAAAAAATGTAAACCGGTCAGTGTAAAATGCAAACTGTGGACTGCAGACTGCGGACCAGGGGTAAAATGCAGACTGTAGGCTGTAGACTCTTTAACTGATTCATGTTACTGTTTCCATCATTGAAAGCTAACTGCAAACAGGCTAATCAAACCATTATTTAGGCTAACCAGAGTGCAGACTTTCACTACGATTAGCCTGAGTAACCCTGTTTACACTTAGCACTTGATAACAGAAATATCACAATGAATAGTTTACACTGACTGAAATGTAAACACAAGATGAAACAAACCTGATGGTCGAAGCACTTCAAATGTGGGATGATCATGCAGCCACTCAACAATCTCCTCCTGAGTAGGCGCAGCTACGCCCGCAATCACCCTCCCAGTGGACCTCTCAATGACCGCCACACCTTCTTTCGGCAGTGCAGATTCTGCATGAGAGGAAACTGAGGGCGGGTGGGAATTCCAGGGTACTGGACCTAGAAAACTTGACTGAATCATAAACAAAACATTATCAATCAACTGACAACACCTAGCCCGACATCTCCTGCCTGAGCCACCTTAACTTTTCAAAACTTTAAGGGGGCTCTGAAGGCTTTGCATAGATTATTTTAAACTCTCAAAAGTTGTATCTTATCACAGCAAGTACCATTTTGAGAATAAAATTTGGGGCGTTGAGCCTATCTTTGAAAGATGTCTGGGCCACCTTACCCTTTCAACACTTTAAGGGGGGTCTGAAGGCCTTGCATAGATTATTTTAAACTCTCAAAAGTCGTATCTTATTATGGCGAGTACCATTTTGAGAATAAAATTTGGGGATGTTAACCTATCTTTGAAAGACATTTTTAACATATAATACTGTTGATATGGTAACTTGTAACCACCTCACGGAAATGATCACTACGTGTTCACCAATGACTGGGCTTATTTTGATAATTATGATTATAGTAACATCAATTGATAGAGTCAAAGTAATGACTCATAAAGGTATAAGTGCTGGAAACTTTTGACAGCCAGCTTAAAATAAATTTTCTGTAGCAGTAAAGGAAAGCATAAACTTACTGTTGGTGATGTAACACTCTTTGAAGATGAAACTGAGGATTTAAATCCCATTCTTTTGCCCCTTTCCTCTGCAATGATTTTCAATGATTCCTCAGCATGTCTGCAAGATAAGAAAAAAATTTTTAACTAACCAGCGATGGCACATCTAATAAGTATGTTGTATAGGTTAATACGTGCTCCCATTACAGTAACCCAGTGTTCCAGATAAGACAGCAGTCTTAAACACATTCTGCGACCTGACCAGAGGAACTGACAGAAAACTGCTGATGATTTGGTTACCCTCCTATCCATTGATCCACTGAAATTCCTTATCGACACATTGCATTTAAAATTTATCTGGAAGTCTCTACTACATACATACAGTTTTTGATCAAACTCTTAAATGTAGCCATTCAAATGAAAGCTACTTACATGTACAATGTAACAACACTTTCATTTGGTACTCTAAATTAGTGTGTGGCCATTCAAATGAAAGCTATTGAGCAGTACTTTCATATGGTATTGTTTATTATGCTGTGCAAGGTAGTTCCAGCTTTTAAGTCCATGGATGAAACCCTAGTGTGTGACCATTTCAATGATCAAAATGGAAGCTATTAAGCAGCACTTTCATGTGGTACTGTTTATTATGCTGTCCAAGGTGGTTCAAACTTCATAAGTCTGTGGACGAAACCTTTGAGTGTGACTATTCAAATAAAAGCTATTGAGCAGTACTTTCATGTGGTACTGTTTATTATGCTGTACAAGGTGGTTCTAACTCTTAAGTCTGTGGATGAAACCTTTGAGTATGACCATTCAAATAAAAGCTATTGAGGAGTGCTTTCATGTGATAATGTTTATTATAATGTACAAGATGTTTTTAATTTCAATTTCCTTCAATAGTACCTTTGTATGCACTCTGGACTGCAGTAAAGTGAGTGATGGTCTGCAAACATAGAACACCCAGCTGTGATGCACTTGGGTTGGGTGGGGTGGTTCATGTACGACGCTGGAGTGGGTGTTGTCCTCACCTGTATAGTAAAATAAAGATAATAGGTTCTAAAGAAGCTGCTGGTTTGTGTTGGTGGGCAAGTGAAGCACTTGGCTACATATTAGCTTGAAGCTTGAAAAGGTAAAATAATTGCTGTAGTGAGTTAGTGAAGCTGATGTTTTGACTGTCAAGCAAATTACTCTTGAAAGTATGTAATAAGTACCCAATAACTTCTCGTCGTAATGCCAGGGTGCTGGGCTAGACAGTATCCCTGCTCAATCACTGGGACTCTCCTGAGATCTGCCAGAAAAGATTCTAAGCAACAGAGGACAATCTCAAAAATACCAAATGGCCTACTGTTGCTTCCCTAAGAGCTTCAGGGTTTATACCTGCTTTAAATGTTTCAGTTACAATGCTGATTAAAAATTTGAATTTTACTGTAGGTTTCTTATGTCATCAAATAAAATGAATACATGATACACGGCAGCGGTCTCTCTTTTGCTCAAAGAGGGAAGAAACGCAAACGAACAAGAAGAAGCGAGTGGTGAAGCTGCAAGCTGCAAGTAGCGTGTGCATCAGAAGACCTACACACAATTTACACACTTTATTTCAATTGATCTAAAAATTAATACAAAAGTAAAACTGATCTGCTGGTAGCATTAGGCCTATCTAGGTAGATCTGAGGAACTGTGTTTGCTCGTCTTCTGACACCTGTGTTACTTGTGGCTCAGATTTTTGCTGCATGCCACTTAAGGACAGTGCCTACTAAATACAAAGGTTTTTGCGCCAGGTTAGGACCACGCGGAAAAAGTAGATCTTTATAAGGGGTACTGGAATCCCCAAAGAAAAATTGGGGGAGCCATGAATTTTTTCAAGATAATTAGCCTTAAATCTCAACAAAAATGCTGACATCAGCATTTT